GAGAGTCCAAGTTCCTGTTATCCTTCAATAACAATGACAGAGCACACTCATTGTTTCATTAGAGTGCTCAGAATATTTAATCTTCCCATTCTGGTATTCAATTTCACTGTCAAGGCTCAAAATAAACAGACAACCATTGAATCTAGGTTCTCTTATAAACAGCTTACATAATTGCTCTAAAATATGCACCAAGAGATCAAGGAATGCTCTCCTGGAATATCTTAAGGAAAAGCCCCAAAGCATTTGTTGCCCTGGAGAGAGGGAATCCACTAAGCACTTTTGGAAAGAAAGATGAGGAATTCCAAAAGGCCTTGTGGTAACCACCTAAATTCATACCCCAGCAGAAAAGATGTCAGCCTCATCAGAATGCTCTGGTGATGCCTACTGAGTCAAGAGGCCTGCTGTTGAATAAATGCTGTTCGCTTCTGTCTACCCTAATCATCACAGATTGTCCTCTTTTCTGGGTGAATGACTGCAATCCCAGTCACTGGCAAGACAAGATGACATCTGCTGAAACCAGTGGCAGAATGTTTCAGATTCTGTCATTCACATAGTGCCTTCATGTTAATGATTGTAATCAGCTTTACACCCTCAACTCAGCAAATGACAATCTGGTCTCCAGTCACATTGTCACCAACTCACCAATACTCTGGGTGCAGCAATAAAGCCTGGTATAACAACCAACACAAAGCTGATTGACTGCTTTTATAGGCCAGAGAGGAGGAAAAGGGATGTTATACTTTGAATTTTCTAAAAGCTGTTACTTTATACAATGACTTTTCAGCTGTAGGTATTACTTTGTGTGACAGGTATGACTATTGTTTCCCTGAAATTAGGTTTTCTCTTCAGAGGAACAAGGTTAAAAGACGTACCAAAGAGATGGTGGCTTCTCGTCTGAAACTGGAGAGATGCCCACGGGGCCCCAAAGAGCACACATGCCCTAACAAGCAAGCCCAGGCAAGTCTACTCATCACTGACAACTTTACTCTCCCAGTGAAGGTGCTTCCCTTAGTAGCTTATGGAACACAGCTTCTAGAAAAATACACTATGAAGTACCTCTCACCTGAGTGAATTTAGCGCCCCACTAAAACATGACCAGGAACTAGAAGGTAAGGTACCACAATGGAGGCAACCACAGATTTTGCCAATTTATTAAAAGAATAATTTAAATTCTACACTTGTCTTCAAAACCCTACTGCCTATCACCACAAAAATGATAACTATGTGAGGTAATACATGTTAACTAGCCAGACTTAGCCATTCTGCAATGTATGTATACTTCAAAGCATTGTGTTGTACATGGTAAATGCACAAGCTTTTATGTCAATTAAAGAAAAAAAAACCTATACTGCCTTAATCAGAACCAATAATGTAAAGTAGGGTGGTGTGCTTGCTAAGATTCCTTGGCCAAAGGGAAAGGAGTCATCATGAAGGTCTTGGCATCCAAACGCTTCAGGACATGACCACCTTTTACTAGCCTCATGAAGACAGGTGAGAAGGGTGAATTGGGCAGTCTGGACAGTACCTTGCCTCCAATCAATCGGAGAGGTCTACATTGGGTGTCCTTTCAGAAAGGTCTGGCAGGTCCTCTCTATGGCTCTAAATACCAGTCCCAACTGCTTAACTCTAAGCCCACAAGGGCAGCAACCATGTATATGCTTCACTTCCAATCAACCAGCATGGTGGCCAGCCCATAGAGAGGACTCAATAAATACCAAGTGAGTGAATTAATGAAAATAAAACAATTGTCAGGTAGCAGATCCAGAAAGAATAGAAAACTTATTAATAACACGAAGATCATGCCATTCTATGCCCACATAGCAATACAAATGTATTTTATAAATCACTAGATTTCTTTTTAATGGTTATTCATCCAAGCTCTTAAATGTATTTGGACTCCCAGGAAAGCTCACCACACTACCAAGACAACTGTGTTGATTTGATCAGCTGAAACAAAAAGAACCAAAGTCAGCCTTCTATCATACGTCACAGTTTTAGTTGAAGCTTCCCACTATTGTGGTAAATAGTAATTATAAAGACAGTAAGAGTTAGCCTGTGTGAGGCGTTCATCAACTACCAGGCATTGTGCTTAAGAATTTATATGCATCATCTCAGTAAATCTTCTCTCAACAGTTCACCAAGGTAGGTATGATTATTCTTGCAATTTTAAGGATGAGAATAGTGAGGCTTAGAGACAATCAGTGACTTGGCCTTGGCTACAGAACAAGTGAGTGACAGAGCCAGGATTCAAACCCACATCTATCTGATGCCACAGCCTAGAGTCACAACCACTATACTCTAAATATTTGCCAAACTTCATTCCTGTGTCCTGTTATTTTAAAACACTTCTTATCCAGTCATTACTACATGTTTAGCATCTGTTTTTCTCAGTGACTGATTTTATCCACTGACAATCCACCATTGCTATAGTCATCAATAAAAACATTTCAAGTGATTTTGCTTGGTGGAAAATTTCCTTATTGAATGATGAGCTCTCTCTGTCATATAAATTTGTTTCCCTCCTAAAATATGGAGGAGGGGGCATGATCAGAAGGCGGGGTTGTCATCACTTTGACAGAAACCTGATGCTTCTTCATTGTCTTTCTTTTGTTGTTGTTGTTGTGGTCTCACTCTGTCACCCAGGCTGGAGCACAGTGGCATGATCACAATGATTAGCTCACGGCAGTCTTGATCTCCTGGGCTCAAGTGATCCTTCCACCTCAGTCTCCTAAGTAGCTGGGCCTATGGACATATGCCACCACACCCAGCTAATTTTTTTTTTTTGTAAAGGTGCAGTCTCACTATGTTGCCCAGGCTGGTCTCAAACTCCTGGGCTCAAGCAATCCTCCTGCATTAGCCTCCCAAAGTGCTGGGATTACTTGAGTGAACTGGCCAATACCTGTTTCTATACCAGTTCTTCCCAAACTGTCATATGCAAGCAGATCTGAGACTCTTGTTAAAATGCAAATTCTAATGCACCAGGTCTGAGGTGGGGTCTTAGCATTTCTAATTTGCTCTCAAGTGATGCTAATGCTGCTGGCCCATGGATCACACTTTAAGTATTAAGGATATAACAACATCAGGAAGCAGAATCCAGATTCTCCAGAACCCAAACTCAGACTCCAAGAGAGAATAACAGGTGTGGAAGAGACTATCTTTCATCAAAACCATACAAAAAATAAAGCTATCAAAAAGCCTAACAAGCAACCAACCTAACAGTTGGCAAGTGCCAACACCATGTAGCTTCTTAAACAATCACATTTGCTCATCTAAGTAGTTGACATACCATGATATGCTAGTTTAGTATTCTTGGCAACCAGTCTACCAGTATTGTAGCTATCCTTCCTGCACCTCAGTCATACTGGAATGGTGATGTATCATGGTCAGCTTGAACATGTTTCAGTAACAGAGCCCCCAGGGGCATGAAGAGGGTCCAAGCTAGGAAAAGCGGGCAAAAGTCATGCAAAAGCCTGAGCAAAAAGCCCTGAGGTGCAGAACACAATGAATAAGAGCAAATTGCTGCCCCCTTAGACATAAAGCACTTCTAAATTTTCAACATTTCTTGTTACATCATCAGTAGGAAAACAATACACCTGGAGTGAGGCAAACAAAGATACACTGGCTCATTTAAACAACAGAACCGTCAAATGAGTTCCCACAAAGAAAATCACAGAGAGGTGTGTATATATACACATGCATATACTAGCGGGGACCCAAAAATTGGAATTTGTTTATAAAAAGTTGATTATTTATTCTTACATGTTTAAATTTCAGTCACCTTCACAGCACTTTTCATTTGCTGCAATACACCTATCGAGATATTTTCTCCACTGCTCAAAAGTTTTTTTTTTTGAGTTGGAGTCTCACTCTGTTGCCCAGATTGGAGTGCAGTGGCCGCTCCCAGCCACCGCAGCCTCGACCTGCTGGGCTCCGGCGATCCTTCCGCCTCAGCCTTCCAAGTAGCTGGAACTACAGGCACGCTACCACACCCGGCTAATTTTTATTTATTGTAGAGATGAGGTCTCGCCAAGTTGCCCGGGCGGGTCTCGAACCCGCAGCTCAGGCAATCCACTCACCTCAGCCTCCCAAAGGCGCGGGATTACAGGCTGAGCCACCGAGGCCGGCTCAAAACAGTTTTTGAACTCATCCATTTTGATGCCCTTCAGTGCTTCTGCCATTTTTGGTTTCATCTTTCACATCAACAAAACATTTCCCTTGGAGGACATTTTTTTCATTGGGGAAACAAAAAAAGTCACTGGGGCAAGATCAGGTGAATAGGGAGGGTGGGGCATGTGGGTCATGCCATTTTTGGTCAAAAACTGCTGAACACTCAGCGTGTGTGCAGGTTATTGTGTAAATCCCGCATCATGAAATGGGCAAATGAGTTGAAAGAATCTCAAAAAAAAAAAAAAATTCACTGAAGCCTCTCACAGCCTCTCACAACAATGTTAGCTGGTACACCACTGGGTTTCTAGAACACTTACCTAGTGGGGGATGCCTGTACTACAAACAATAATTCTGTCTTTTGGGGGTCCCCCCTCATATAGTACATAAAAATTAGCAGGGCTTGCTCCACATTCTCAGTCTTACAATGTACTTTTCAGCCACTTCCATGACATTGGTTACTTTACCACCCACAAAGACCCTGTTACATGGGACACAGGCAGTCTGCTTACCAAAATGAAGTGACTAAAGTTCTCACACTTTATTTGGGTGCTCAAATGTGCCAGGCACTGCACCAAGGGCTTTAATCACATTATCTTGTTTATACATGCAACAACCCTACAGTAAGGATCTCTGTCGCCAGGTGACAGAGGAGTCTTGTAACAAATTTGTTATAGGGTATAAAGCAGCCACACGCTCAGAACCTAGGTTCATTGAACGTTCAAATGCCAGTGCTTTTCAGTGTTAGATCAAACCTCCCCCATCCCAAGTCCCATCATGAAAGCCACAATTCTGACAGCATGTGGAGCACTGAAATCAAAGCTAGAAAGACTTACGCTTCCCTCCTTTTCAAAGTCTGGTGGAAGTAGCTTCACGAAGTTGTCGGGGAATACTCCTCGTCTGCCATTGAGCTCTCCTTCCCACCAGCCTACATCGATGCAGTCCTAGGAAACAGGAGAGCAGAGAGTGAGAGATGGAGACAAGCACCCTCCAGAGAGATTTAATGTCCCTTTTGAGAAAAAGGAGGCCCTTTCCTGAAGGCCAGTATCAAGTTACTAAGTCAGCACAAACCCCAAAGTCAGGGGAAAACAGAAGCTTAAGTATGCTTAGGGCTGCTCCCTGGGACCCAAAACCCAATGCTGCTTTTAGATGTCCTGAATCAATAAGGTCTTCTTTTCCTTGCAGATGGAAGAATATATATTTTCTTCATTTTAATTTTACCAAAATAAAGGTATTTTTATTAACTGCAAATATGGCTTAGAAAATACCACATGCACAAATGTCCTTTGTGGTTAGCCTGTCATAAAACTTGTCAAAATTAAAAAGGGCTTAGTAAGCTGGGCTCGGTGGCTCAGCCTGTAATCCCGCGCCTTTGGGAGGCTGAGGTGAGTGGACAGCGGGTTCGAGACCCTCCTGGGCAGCAAGACCTCATCTCTACAATAAATAAAAAAAAAAAAAACAACAGCTGGGCGTGGTAGCGCATGCCTGTAATTCCGGCTACTTGGAAGGCTGAGGCGGAAGGATCGCCGGAGCCCAGCAGGTCGAGGCTGCGGTGGCCGGGAGCGGCCACTGCAGTCCAGTTTGGGTGTCAGAGTGAGACTCCAACTCAAAAAAAAAAAAAACAAAAACAGGGCTTTGCAACAGTCAGCCAAGTACAGGAAAAAGCACACTTTACACAAGCTCATTAATGCACTGCTCTCCTTCACCTTCTCCTTTCGTGTTGATGGGGCACAGTTGTCATCATGAAAAGTCCGTCCTCCACCTTACAGAACTCATCGTTTGCTTACTAACAAACAATGCTTACTAAGCTTATTCATTCTTCCAGATCAGACTTGCTTCACTTTGGATAATCTCTATTCTGTTCATCCATTCATCAAACGTTTATTGAGCACCTACTCCTTGCTGGGTACCAAGCCAGGGGCTAAGGAGAGGACAACAAGCAAAACTGGTAAGAGCCTGGCCTTTTTCATGAGACTAATGGCCTCATGGTTCTCCTAGGCACTCAACTTCGTGCCACAAAACCACTTCTAGTTTTGCCCATTTTCAAGTGATTGGAAGTCTAATTTGGTGTAGTTTTATAATAGATATTGCATTTGTCCTCTGGGTCCAATTCCACTTCTACCACTCAAGCCAGTACTCATTTGGCCTACTGTAAACCTCCTCACTTGTGCATCTCTTCCTGTCCAGTGTATGGACAATATATATGTATATATACACCACAAAGATGATGTCCTTGAGTAAATGCCCAATCCTCAGACTTATGCTCAATAACTTCCATCAAAATCTCAAAATGAGTAAAGACTTTCCAAAAAGCTCTGGCAACACAGAAGACTTTAAAAGTTACATCTGAAGCAAGAAAATGATCAAGAACGAGAGGCCCCCGTGGTCTTACACAACATCAGTGGGAATGGCAAAGGGGCCAGGGGGACTCCAGCATCAGAAGCTGACCTAAGGCCTTACTGAAGGTCCCTAAAGGGCCATGACTTACAGGACTCACTTGTGCCTTGCTAGAACATATACTCCAGCAAGGCGAGAAACACATCTGATGTTTTCACCATTATACCCCAGCCCTGTGCACAACACCCCATGCAACAAATAGTTGTGGAATCAATGCAGACTCTAACCCTGAGTTCTGTGATCTCCTGCAGTACAATGCTTGATTACTACAGGACAAGATGATTTCTATCTACCTGAACTCATGAGAATTCTACATAAGTTAGCATACTTCTCAGGTGAGAAGTAAATGATCACTGCCTTCCCTTTCCCCAATGGTATCTGTTACAAATATAAACTGACCCCTTTAAAGAGAATGCAGATTTTGGAAATCAGTCCTTAGTCACAGACTATAAATTCAAATCCTAAACAAAACCAGAAGACAAAGACATTTGAAGTATGAAGTTCAAATTTACCTAGAACAAAAAAGATGGGGGGGGGGTTCAAAAAGTTTCCAACATAAGAGAATACTTATCTTTCTGGAATAATGACAATGAAGAGACCAGGTAAGTAGTCTGGTCCTGCCTGTGTCATCCCTGAACAATCTAGCATCAATCCCCAAGGAAGAAATTTGCGAACAGGAGAGGTGGTGGCAAGATTTGGTGGCTTCTGATGTTCTTCCAACCCTGAGACGTTATAAATGTCATCAATGATACCAGAAAAACTTATGAAGGAAGCAGTAAGTGAAATTTTTTATTTTTATTTTTTTGAGTAGGAGTCTAATTCTGTCGCCCAGGCTGGAGTACAGTGGTATGCTCACAGCCTCAACCTGTTGGGCTCAGGTGATCCTTATGCCTCCATCTTCCAAATAGCTGGAACTACAGGTGCCCAGCTAATTTTTTAATTTATTGTAGAGATGAGGTCTTGCCAAGCTGTCCAGGCTGGTCTCGAACCCCTAGGCTCAGACAATTCTCTTGCCTCCACCTCCCAAAGTGCTGGGATTAAAGGAGTGAGCCATCATGCCTGGCCGAGTTAAATTTCTTTAACCCTAATTCTTGGAAGTTAAGTCTTTCAATCCAGAAGGCTCTACTTCCAAGGAGATTCCTGGCACATTTTTTTCCTCCTCTTTTTCTGGATGTGTCCTTCTCATCTTCAAAACCCAACTTGAAACTCACCTTTAGGAAAGTGACTACAATGAATACTTTATCTTTTCTCTAACATTCAATACTGTGTTAATCTACACTTCGTTATATTCAGTTCAACAAACATCTATTTAATGCAAAATATATCTAAGTTCTGTATGCACCAAACATTAAACATACAGAGAACATGGCCTCTAACCTAGGGAGTTTAGAGATGTATATGAAAGACAGATATACCACATTATGCAAGGTCTTTTGGGGTAACAGTTATCAACTAAATGTTCTAGTGCCAAAAGAGGAGAGAACCATTAACCAGCTCTTCAAATAATCTTAAATCTTTTCATGTGGGAAGGGTTTGTTTATGTGAGGACTGGACTTCCCTCCACATTCATTTCAGATCTTCTGACACAGAACTCAGATATTGTTTAGTGCTACTTTTCCTGCAAACTTCCCAAAAAGTGCAAATCCATGTTTTACCTTAGCCTTAGGCAAACAACCTAAAAACTGTTTTGCTTCATATATGGGAAAACAATACAATTTTAATAAGTAAAAGTCTGTGCAGAATAACTTTAGTACCCACATGCCTACAGGGGAAGACAGTGCATAATGACATTAGATTGATCATATGGGGTCTGACAATTAAGTTTGTGAATTCTTCCCTAAAAAAGTGCTACATACCTCACTGCTAAATATCACTATGGCCACCCCAAACTCCTGTTGGCAAGCTATGCATTGATGCCAGCACCTAGTTCATTTATTAAAGCAATTTTGAAACTTTTTTTCTGGACTGGCCATCAGAACTGTTGTCGTATTACCCTTGATGTTCTGAATGTCATCAAAATGTCTTCCTTTCAATATTTCCTTTATCTCTGGGTCAAGAAAAAAGTCACTGAGGGCCAGATCAGGTGAGTAGGGAGGGTGTTCAAATACAGTTAATTGTTTACTGTCTAAAAACTCCCTCATAGACAGTGCTGTGTGAGCTGGTGCATTGTCGTAACACTAGATCTCCTTCAGGATCATTTTTGCACATATGTTTCTCATGACAAGATTTTCAGTTAAGATTTTCCTAACTATTTCTCTATTGATGTTTATTTGGTCTGCTATGCTTCTCATAGTCAGGCAACGATTTTGACATACAATTTAATGAATTCTTGCAATGTTTTTTATCAGTTCTGCTCATTACTAGCTGTCCTGACCTCTCTTCATCAGTGACGCTTTCTCTCCTCTCAGAAAAACATTCAATCCATTTGTACGCTGCCATTTTCTTCATGGCATTATCCCCATAAACTTAGACTAACATATCCCTGGTTTCACTTCCACTCTTGCCAAGTTTAACAAGAAATTTAATGTTTGTTCATTGCTCTAATTCAAACTCCGACATTCTCACAACAACAGCTCTGATGGCCATTCTAGAAAAAGAGTTCCAAAATTGCTTTGATGGGTGGACTAGGTACTGTTCAGTGCATAGCTTCCCAACAGGTGTACTTCAAAAGTGACTGTAGTGATATTCAACAATGAGATATGTAGCACTTTTTCTAGGATAAGTTTGTGAACTTAACTGTCAGATTTTGTGTCTCTCATCAGTGATGACTGGCTTGGATGGCTCATCTATACCCTGCTTCTTAAGGAAAATACTAACAGTACTAATCATCACATAATTCAAAGCAAGAGAGGGAAGGCATGAAGGGAGAACACAATACGTCTAATTGTTCTGATTGGTATAAGAATAAACGCAAGGCCCATGGATGAGATGAGCACAGTCAAGAAAGAAAACAGCCAGTGTGATTTAGAATACAAGCAGAAGCAAAACAAGGGAGTCTGCTCTAGGACAGAAGGTGGGCACAGGGTCAGGATGCCTGGAGTGAGATGGAGATTTACAGAGAACCGAGGCATACCCTCACCCCCAACAACAGGAGCTAATGTAAGGGAAACAGGAATAATTTTATCAGCAAAATGAAAAGTGAAAAGAAGTCTTCAACAAACCCGACAAAAGAACTAGTCTTTTTTTTTGAGCTGGAGTCTCACTCTGTCGCCCAGACTGGAGTGCAGTGGCGGCTCCCGGCCACCGCAACCTCGACCTGCTGGGCTCCGGTGATCCTTCCGCCTCAGCCTTCCCAGTAGCCGGAATTACAGGCATGTGCTACCACGCCCGGCTGAATTTTTTATTTATTGTAGAGATGAGGTCTCGCTGCCCAGGCGGGTCTCAAACCCGCGGGCTCAGGCAATCCACTCACCTCGGCCTCCCAAAGGCGCGGGATTACAGGCTGAGCCACTGAGCCCGGCTAAGAACTAGTCTTTTGATGGCAGAAATGAGGAGAGAATTATTTGTATGAGAGCTGTGCTTCCAGAAGTGTAAAACAGCAGAAAAT